TAATCTCAAATGACATTAATTTGGTTAATAATTTTATAATTCCTTAAAATATGTAGAATTAAAGAAAATTCTGATAAGGACATTTTGATTTAGCATATTTCCTTGTAGAGATGGCTCTGTCTTCAATATGAGACAAACTTTTGAGCCTCTGGACTATGCTTTCTTTTTCATCCAAGGATGGTAATAAAGGGCTACTGTTGGGATGTCCATGCCAAAGACTCAGTGGTGATGGAATTTCACTGATCTATGCATAATCCTTATCTCTTACTTAACTTATAACCAGCCACATAGTGGCTAAAGCCTATTTCTCTAAAAATATGCAGACCAAAACAATAACAACAACAACAAAAAATCTAGGGCTGGGGATTTAGCTCAGTGGTTTCGCCACCTGCTGCGCAAGCGCAAGGACTGGAGTTTGATGCCTGGTACAAAAAAAAAAAAAAAAAAATGCAGACCAAGGTAAGTATATTTAAAAAAAATAGGAAAATTGAGAGAATTAGGAATTTCATCGTTTGAAAACTACAGATTTGTTAGATTTGCCGCTACTGTGAATTTCACAGGTATAAAGTAAAATGCTATAACTGAGTAATAAACAGGAAAAATATTGACATATTAAGGTGTGAATTAAAACACTAAGAATAAATAACATTTTTTCCCTTGTAGTACAATATTTTCATGATTTTGAAACTCACTAGAAATTACCTAATCCAGTTAAGGATTTTCCGCAGACATTAAAAATACCCAAGGTGATTGAGAAAACATCATCAATGGACACCGTTGTGTGATTTTATTTATACACACCTTGAATCACATTTCTTTTTTCTCCCAGAATCCCACCATGCTTGCACCAGACATCTCACTGGGGAGAGTCATCCTAAGGTAATATATTTTCCTTATTTTTTATTTTGTGGGAACAAAATGATTAAATTCATATTTCTCTAATTTTCACATGTTTTATTAATAGTGCCATATATTATGTACATTTAATAATTCTGCCTCAACCCAGCTAAGCAAAAGAAGCCTGGAATCAGTGTAAGCCTAGTGATGTGTTATGGATTGTAGTGTTCTTGATAGGTTGGGAAATTGTATTTTGTCTTAATAACAAAGTAAACTTACTCTTTATGATCTGTTTCAAATCAATGTAGCCTTTTATTTAACTCATCAGCTTTGTGTCAAATTAATGACATTCAAGACTTCACAAGAAGATCCAGTCTTCATAATACTTCCCCTAACTGCACATTTCGAGGTTGATTCTTAATGGTAAAAAATAGCAATTATTATTTTTTATTCTTCCAGTAACAGATGGACTTCATTTGCTGATACTTTTATTTACTTGCAGCTCTTTGGAGCTTCATTTCTACCAATCCAATTTTACAGATGAAACATGAGTGAGGTGAAGTGCCTTTTATATAATCACCTTGTAGCTGAATTAAAAGCTGAAATTAGAAATACAAATTTCACTCTTTCTTTGTCACTAGGTCATATTGCCTTAGAAGCTTTAAGTGAATTTTTTTAATAATTTTCTGAAAACCCATCAAATTTCATGAAGTAGTTTAAATATATTTTTCAAGGTAACTCATAACATTTAAATGCAATAAATTTACATAATCAAATTCAATGCCATCTTGTAAATGTAATATAAAAATTTTAGCAAGGATAATTGTTAGTGTAAGTCTATGTTTTCAAATCACAAAAACTCGATTTAATTTGCCTTAGTTTTATAAATAAAACATGAATGGTTCATAAATAATGGCCTGCAAAGTTGTTAAGTAGGATTAACAAATGCTTTTTTTGTCGAATAACTACATTCAATTTCTGTTAAATATAGTTAGAGCAGTATATATTTTACTAAAGATTATTCTAGACTTGTACACTGTTAATTTGAAGCCAATTTCTACCTATAAAAAGCTAATGCATTAACAAAGTGAGTTATAACATATGACCTCTAATTAAAAATAAATCATGTTATAGTGTTTAAGAGCCATTCTGGACTGAACTCATTTTCATGTGAATAATCATAATTCTTGATGAATAACTTAATAATACGTAACGTAACTTGGAAAAAAAGTTTTGCAGAATGATCGCTGACTCATAGAAGAAGACCTGCAGAGCATATTAATGATTTCTAATACAGTTCTACTTATAAGGAAGAGATTAAGGATTTATAATTCATTCTCTCGAGAAGTTTGAGTGTTTCCCTTAACCGTGATAGTACATCTTCCCTATATTAATGCCTCTATATTTCATTCAGATTTGTGACTGGGCATAGTATCAACATTTCTCATAATGTTGAGGGTCATATAATTTTGTCCTTTTTTATAGAAAAACATTTATTCATACATTTTAAACATACATAATGATAACACTCATCATATGGAATTTGCACCTGTACATGAGTCCTCCCACCTCATATTTCCCCTCCCTTATATATTTTTTTATTTTTCATTAATTGTATGGGTACATTTTAGATATACAATATGTTAACATTCAGTTTGGGGAGTTTGCACCTTTAAATAATATGTCCTCATTCTTATTATTTTCCCCATTTCCCTGCCCTCAAATATGGAGAAATCATTTAACCTATTCTTTTTATTTTCAGTGATAAGATATAATTCCACAAATGTAGAATTGTCTTCCCTATGTTGCACAGTTAGCATACATTTTGTCATTTGCCTGTTAGCAAACATTTTCTACTATTTTGTTCCATGTTCTGAATGACTGTAAAAGTGATGATTCTACTAAGAATTCTTTTCCCAGTGCTCTTATTTCTTCCTCAGAAAATTTTTTTTGTAAAATCTGTATAATTTAGAAATGTAGTTTCAAACTGGAAAGTTGGATAGATTTTCTAACCTATGAAACATGAAAAATAATTTCTATGTGATAGCAATTTTTGTAAGATACATGAGAAAATCTATAGGAACTGCCATTTCAGCAACTGACATTCTCTTAGGCCACAGCTGTTGTTCAGTATGTGGAGGGGTTCCTGCAAAAGGTGCGTGTGGATATTTCTGCAATAAAGCTTTGAAAGTGACCATGATCCCTCCATGTAATAGTTCTTTGTGGATTTTAGAGCTTGAGTTTCACGAATATTTTAGGAAATTCTGTATTCTGCAATTTTTCTTTGTATTAAATATCTGAAGAACATATCGAATCCATAGCTTATCTTGTAAATTATTGAGAAGTTGGGGCATTGAATTTTGGCTGTTAGGAAGGTAAAAGCTCTATGTGAAAAGGCTAGTGTTCTCTTAATAAAGGAAAGGATCGCAAAGAAAAGAAACATTTTAGCTACATGTAAAACATTTTATATTTTTAGGCCGAGGATGTAGCTCAGTGGCAACGTGCCTGCCTGGCAAGTGCAAGGTCCTGAGTTCGGTCCCTGAAAACATTTCATATCTTTCACAAATAGTATACTTATTTTAGTTTGCATTTCTGAATTTCATATAAGTTAAATTATTCTTTATGTGTAATATTTTCCTTTTACTCAGCATGATAAATTTTAGATTCATTAATGTTAATACCAATAGTTCACCTTTTTTGCTAAGTGCTTTTCCACTCAATGAGTAGGCCACAAATTGTTCATTCAGTAGACGGTGGATATGAGAATTGTCTCCACTTTGAAACTATGAAAAATAAAGTTGTTCTGCATATTTGTGAACTTGTGCTTTTATTTATATTTTGTAATTTTTTAAATGAAAAGCTAAAATATTATATAGATATGTTTGCCTTTTAAGAGAACTGACAAACTGTTTTGTGATGTGGTTTTCACCATTTTTAACTCCTCTCATCAGTGGGGCAGAGTTTTAGCTACTCCACACCTTCACTGACACTTGATTTGGTCAAGTTTTTAAATTTTAGTCATTCTAAACAGTATGTAGCAGTTTCTTATTTGTTTTTCTTAGGATTTTCCTATTGATTATTAATGTCCACAATCTTTTTTTTGTAGAAATGTTTTAAATGTTTAATGTTTTTTTAAAATAAAGCATTCTGCACAAATTTAAAGTTTATATATTGATATATTTTAATAAATTTGTATAATTGTGAAACAACCAAACTCAAAATAATTAATACATGCAAGTTTTCTCATGTTGCTTTGTAATCTTTCACACATGTTAACACCATGAATCCTATAGGACCCATAGATCTCTCTATAATTATAGGTTTGTCTGCATTTTTTAGTCTCATCAATGCAGTCCTAGACAATGTACTTTTTCAGACTAATTTCACTAAGAATTGTTTTCAATTTTTGGCTATTGGAAATAAATTTACTATGCAAATTGTTGTAAAAGTCTTGTATAGTTTTTATTTCCTTGGGATAAATACTTAGAAGTGGAGGCTAGATCATACAGCGGGTAATTAACATTTTAGGAAATTTTCAAAGCATTTTGAAAATTGCTTATATGTATTATGTTCTTACAATAAGACTGTACAACTTTCAGTTGTTCCACATCTTCTCCTCCACACACTTCAGTCATCTTAACGCTAGCCACAGAGTAGTTGGGCAGTTCTATTTCATTCTGATTTAACTTTCATACCTCTGCTGACTTATAATGTTGAGCAACTTTTCACATTCTTATTTGTTACTCACATGTTTTTCATGGCGCAATGAATCATTTGGCTATTTTTTAATGCATTAAGTTTCAATAGCTGTGTTTGCATTGATCACATATGATTTGCAAATATTTTCCCCTTAAATGAAGCCTGTCTTACATTAATTTAATTTATTTCATCTTTGTATCTCCCCAATTTACAAATATTTTCTCTTATATAGAAAATTCAGAGATTTAGATATTACCTTTCAGAATTTATGCTCTAATGTGAGATAAACTTTGAGTACTATAAATTTTTTCTATATATGAATATCCAAATATTTTAGCACCATTTATTAAAAATGTTCTTGTCTCTGTATTTAATTTCATGTTCATCCTTTAAAAGGTAGTTGTCCATATATGTATAGTTATATTTCTGGGCTCTGTCTTTTGTTTTATTGATCTATTGTTTACCTTGTCTTCAAAAATGCCTTGTGAACAGGTGACTTTTCTCCAAATTTGTCATTCTCTTTCTGAGTTGTCTTGGCTATTCAGTGGAAAATATCTGTCAAAATTAGTATTAGAGTCATCTTATTCTGAGAGGTTTTTAAGCTTTTTAAAGTAAGTTCAATTTCTTTATGAGATTTGGGGTCTTCCTAATAGCTTTAGAATACTCTGATAAATGAGTTTCTTCTTTTGTTTGCTTTTCCAGCATTTTTCAAAATGTCATGCCAATATTTTCCTGACTGCACTATTTTCTCTGAGGAGTGTGGTGCTATTATTTCTTTTTGTACAATGTGCTTTCCTCCCTGTGGCTTCTTTTAAGGTACTTTGTTAAAAGTCAGTGGTTTTAAGAAATTTGTTTATGTTTCTTGAAATGCATAAATCTGTACTTTTAAATTTTTTTGTCAAGCTTAGAGAAATTTTGCCCCTTATTTCTTCAATATTTTTGTATCTTCCCAATTGTCTCTTGTTGTTTGGGGACTCGAATTACAGATTTATTTGCCTACTTTAATTTACCCCTAATTCACAAATATTATGTTCAATTCAGTTCAGTCTTTTTGACTCTCTGTTTCTTTTGGGTTGTTGAAATTGCCCTGACTTCAGTATTTCTTTTAAATTTCTATCTTTTGATGAACTAATCCACAGTGATATTCTGAATTAATTGAATAAAGATATCTAGCTAAAAAGGACTATAGTAAAGGAACCCTTCCTTTCCTTTTGTTCTATGTTTTGAAACCACAAAAAAACCAATGATTGGTATTTCTGCTTATTAAACAAATGTAATCAAGTAATAATGTTTAAAATATATTTAAAACCTATCAGTGATGGTAGCTTAATATTATGATATAGGTAATTCACTGTTTTTGTGTAGAATATATTGGGGGTGAAATTCACTTTTCTGCCAATAATTACTAATAGTGATATACCAATAATTAGACTTCAATGGGAAAGCGATATCTAAAACTCTAATTGAAAATATTTCCACATTGATTTTTTTCTTAAGAAAAATTTATAATAGAAGCTACTTTTAGAGCAAGAATGTCTAATAGTAAAACAAATATCATGCAATTGAAATTAATAAGTCACTAATTCTCTAAAAATTTTGAGGTACAGAAAATTAACACTGTGTGTCATATTTGCCACCATGTTATTGAAAATTCAATTTAAGAATGCTTAAGCAAGGATAAAGGTTAGAATTTGTATTCTTAATGAAAGTTATTCTGACTGGGGTGAAATGGAATCTCTTACAGAGTTTTGATTTTCATTTTCCTAGTGGTTGAAGATGTTGAAAATTTTTCATATGCTTATTGGCCATTTGTATTTCTCTTGATAAATGTCTGATTATTTTATTTGCCCATTTATTGATTGGGTTCTTTGGGTTTTTCTGGTATTAAGATTTTTAATTTTTTAAGATATTCTTGATACTAATCCTCTTCCAGAAGAGTATCTGACAAAGATTCTCTCTCATCCTGTATACATTCTCTTTTCTTTTATTTCTTTCTCTGTGCAAGTTTTTAATTTGATATAGTCTCATTTGTTAATTCTTGCTATTATTTCTAGTGCTATTTGTATCCTATTCAGGAAATTTTTGTGCCTTTGACCAATGTTTTCCCTACAGGTGAGAGATAAAGATCTAGTTTAAATCTTCTACCTATCAATATCCAGGGTTTTGTTTTTTTTTCTAGCACAATTTGTTTAAAAAACTACCTTTTCTCCAGCGTGAAAATCCCTTTATTGAGAGTTGGATGGCTGTACTGCTCATGTATGTTTGTTTCTGTGCCCTTTATTCTATTCCACAGTATTTGTGTCTATTTTGGGGGAAAAAATGATGTTTTGTTACTATGGCTTTCTAGTATACTTGGAAATTAGGTATTATTATACCTCCCACAGTTCTGTTTTTTCATGATTACTTTTTCTATACTGGTTCTTTTGTGAATCCATATGAATTTCAGAATTTTTTTCTATTTCTACAATATCATTGTATTGAGATGGAGATTGTATTGAATCTGTAGATAATTTTCAGCAGTATTTAATGTTAGCAATATTAATTCTGCTGATTCATGAACAGATGTCTTTTAACACTCACATAAACCAAGTATGTAGTAATTCATAAAATTCATGAATTTGTAATTTTATGTCCTTTTACTTCTTTTTCTTTATGCCCTGCTTTCCAAAGCATAATGGTTCAAAGTCCAAGATGGCAGATAAAGGTCCATTCTTCATATTTTTAGAAATATAAGCAGCAGTAGAAGGAAATTAGATAAAGGAGAACATCCTTTATGAAATTTAACAAAACCTACACATAAGCAAATTATGTTCATTTATATGGTAATGGCCAGAACTTAGTAAAACAGGCCACATTTACTTCAAAAAAGAGATTTTCATTTCTTGTGTCATAATGAGCTAAATATCAGATATTCTAACAAGAAAAGACTAGATATTGGAGTAGACAACAAGTAGCTTCTACAATAACATGTTAAGGGTAAAAAATTACCAAATGCAGTGTAGACATATTATTTACTTAGGGGATTAGATTTCAGGAGATACAATGTCAAGAATTATTTGAAAGAAATATTTCATTCTTTCAGCCTCCACATTAAAAGCATCTAATGTAATTTATATGTTGCTTAAAGTCAGTCACAGTAAGGGTGCTTTTTTCTTCATGAAAGTCAAAACTGTTACAAGTTTCTTCCAATGTTTAAAGGTTATCCTTAAATAACTCAATACTTTTGGAAATACATGGATATGAATAATCAAATTTTTATGAAATTTAATATACAAAAATAATTTACTCATATAGAGACTTATCCCCACACATTTCAAATGGTAGGATTTCATTTTAAATCCTTGGTGATGAAGAGTTGGCAAGATCACACACACATATATGGTATTATATACATATAATATATATACATGTACATATGTGCATGTTATTGTGTGCATATATGTGTGTGGTGTACAAATATGTGCATAAATACACACACATATATAATATATATACCCAACACAAAAAAAATGAATAATGGTAAAAATCATTTACTGACCACTTACATATTTCTAGACAATATCCTGTCTTTCATATATATTTATCAAATTGTTACCTTTAACATCCATATAAATTGTATATATGTTTTACAGACAAGGATAATACAGTTAAGAGGGTTTTTAATATTTTCATGAAATAAAATAAAAATGATATGCCTCCAAAAACACTTCATCCATGAATTGAAAAGACATTTAACACCTTAGAATTCTAAATTGAGTTCAATTTTTTAGCATTAAAATGTATTACTAAGTTGAAGATTAGAATTTCATGGATAAACCTGTGGTAATTTCTTTAATAATGTATATCATAAGACAAATTTTAGTTATTTCTTTCTTTAAGCAATGCAGATTATGGAGGTATGATTCTTTGCTGAAACCTAAAAAATAAATGCATTGAATATTATGAGTCTTTTATCATACATAAATATGCATTTTATTGAGCTGGAAATTGAGAAAATTCATTTAGTAAGTCTTAACTTAGAGCAAGGCTATTTCAGAGTCTGAATGAGAAGTATGTATTAAAAAAATTGGAAATGAAATGCAAATGTAGCAAAAACATACAATTTAGTTTGATTACAGTATAGGTCAGCTTGGCAGATGAGCTGCTTGAAATAGATGATCAAGATTGTATAAGTTAATTCTGTGGCATGCTGAGACATAACAGGCAGTGTTTCTAATGCCCTGTACCAGGAAGCACATAATTACTGCTATTATTATTGAGGATGTGAATGTGGTCTCCTAGCAATATGCTAAACATCTTCTCAAGCATTTTAAAAGCTTCATCTGCTCTACTTGCTAAAGTTTTGATTCATATAGAAAGCCGGAATTAAAATCCAAAAGTAGAAGAAGTATTCCTAAAGCAGTCTTGCCTGTGTATGTATATAAATTATATTTACACATATAAAAACTATATGATATATATAATTTAAACTAATATCAATTTTAAGATTAATTCCTAGTGAATGAGTAAAACGGGAAATATTTAGATACTTATCTGTTCTATGGATAGGAGAGTATTACCCTCTAAAGTGTTATACATATTAATATATTGATAGAAAACCTAACAGTAAAAATAAAAACATAAAATAAGACTGTGAACTATTGAATGCTTATTTTCTATTTCAAAGTGTATTATCTACAGCTTTCCTTTATGATGCAGACTACTTTTGTGTATTTACAAAATACATTTTGACTGATAGGTACTAGTTAAAATGAAATTCAAATATTGAAATAAAAATACTCTCTGCGAAAAGAAGTCATTGAAAAATTAAATAAATTAGCATACAAATTACATTTTAGAAATTAGTCCTTTGTGTTAAGTGCAACTTTCTATGTAACATGATTTCAGCTTTAATCTTTACTCAATACATATTTTTAGTGTGAGATACGGTAGCAAGTGCTATAACTTTTTCTCTCAAACCTAGATTAATTAGTTGACAGTAAAATATAATTTAATAATGAACAGCTCTTTTAGACAAATATTTGCCTCTAGAATCAGGAAATGTAAACATCTTGCACACATTTACTAGAGATGATTCTATTATAAAGACATTATTTTATTACCACCCAGATTTTCAGAGGCAACTTCACAACGTGCATTTCTCATTAGAAATATATAATTAAGTATCTGAGCTACATGTGAAGACCTTGTTATTGTAACAGTGCTTTTATTGAAAGTCAATAATTCTCAACCAGGATCATCCTAAGGCACAATAACGCTGGTCCATTTTAAATGCTAATATGGATGGTAATGGCTCACTGGTTTTATATCTTAAAATATAATGCTATTGTTCTAATTGTGGGAATAATAGAAATGGATTTCTATTTACAACTGTTTCCACAGTAAACTCAGTCTATTCCTAAAAGTGATAAAATATTGAGTGACTATCTCTTTGGCAGGAGCATTTCCCCACTATTTTTTCATGAATCAACAATCTTTTTCTAAATGCAGATATTGTTAGTGTTAATAATCAAGATTGTACAGTTTTATGAACTCAAGCACACTCGCCCTTTATGCAAAGTGATTGTATTGCTCATGACGATGTTGCCCACTGTAGCTCTCCTTCTCTCCACTCTCTTCCCACCCCTAGTTTATTGTTCTTTTTTGCCTTATTCTGTGGAGGTCAAGCTAAACCAGTCTAAATTATCATGTCAGCTCTAATAAGAAGCCAATATAAACTAGAAATTAGATTAACATTAAAAATGGAATTAGAATGTATTCTGCACCCTTCCTATCTGCTGATTTATTCAGATATATATAATCTCCCTTTACCCATTGCTTATATTTCCTTTTTATCAATTACCCCCAGTCAACCATGGTCCAAAATTATTCAATATAAATTCCAGAAATAAACAACTTCTTGCATCATCCCACTTGGAGGATGAATCAGAACTTGGACTAACATATTCCACACTACATTCTCTACTTGTCTGATAGTGATTTAGTAGTGTCTCCCTTATTTTATGAACCATACCACTGTTCTGGTGCATATACTCACATAACCCTTGCAAAGTAGCTAACACTATGTTATATAGATATGTGAGTAATCTCTCTTCAGCTCATCATGCAGATATTGCATCATTTCACATTATCATATAAAGACTGGTATGTAGAGAATAATAAGATATTTTGAAAAGATAATGCATATCTACATAACTTTTATTATAGTATATTACCATAATTGTTCTTTTTATTATTAGTTGTTGCTATTAATCTCTTACTATGCACAATTTAATTAAACTTTATCACATGCATGCATATATATGAAAAATATAGCATATATAAAGTTTAGTACTATCTGTGGTTTTAGTCATCAACTGGGAATGTTTTAATATATTCCTCATGGAAAAGAGGAAGTGCTGTGATTTCAATTTTTACAACAATTGTGGAAGGAAATGGCTTACTAACCTTTAATATAAACTTCGAAATTTATTCTCAAAATATTAAGTGATGATGATGATAAGAATACACATTTAGAACATGAGGAAGCAATCTGTTCTCAGTGCTTCTTCTTCCCCAAATTTCTTCTGTTAATTCTATAGAGTTTAAGGCAAAAAGTAAGATAATATGAAATATATATTAAGACACTTATATAAGGAAAAGATGACTGACATTCTAAGTAAAGTGTGTAACTTACAGTTTGTCAAGGAAGGCAAAATACTATAATAAGAGTTTCTCACAAGAGTTATTGCACAATATGGAAATAACCAAATTCTGGACTCTTATCTAATTTTTAATTTTATTTTATCAGTATGTGTTTGCAGTATACCTGATTATATTCATGGTGTGGAGTTGGTACAGGTACATAATGCACTGTTAATAGTGGCTTTGAGCTATTTATTTAATAAATTTATGTTTGCTTTCTTCCAGCATATTTCTATATGTTACATTTATTATATATTTGAAGAGTAGAGGACCCATGTCCTCATAAAAGGTCCATTCCATAGGAAATTTACAAAAATATTGTAAAGCTAGTAGAAAAACTACCCTCTGGTATTGACAATTTATCACTGAGCGGTCCAGAATAGGGAGCTGGCCTTGAGCTACATGTGAAAGTTTAGCGTTAATGGATCACATGAATATATAGTGGTGGCTATTCCAGCATAGAGGACAACACAAAACTAAAACAATGTAAAGACTGTGATACCTGCCTGGACAGAAAAGACCAGAAGACTAGTATAACAATCGAGAAGGTATTTGGGGTAAAGGAGAAGACATAGGTGTAGCCTCTACTGTCTTTTCAGGGCCTCATAGGCTGTGATTCAATGTTTGGAAATTTTTCTGAAATTAATACTAAGTTATAGCATTTTAGACAGAAGTGTGGCATCCTATTTTGTAAGTTACTAAGTCATTACTTAAGATTTATGTTTCACCTCAAGATAGAATAACAAGGGTAAGATTTTCTCTTCTGCCTGAAGATTTTTTTTCAAGACAAATAAACTGAAGTAAGCAAATGAACTAAAACTGTTTTCTAGATGACTGACATCAGACAATAAAGGCTAGTAATTGTTTCAATCAACTCAGAAAAATAATTTGACCTTATCTAATAATAATATTTTACTTTTTGGGAAGATACCCAGAAGAGGAATAGTTGGGTCAAATGGGACTTCTAATACTAGTTTTTTGAGGTATCTCCATATTTGTTTCCATGATGGTTGCACCAGTCTACACTCCCACCAACAATGGAGAAGGGTTCCTTTCTCCCCACAACCCAGGAAGTATTTGTTATTAGTTGATTTCTTGATAGCAGCCATTCTTTCTGGGGTGAGCTGGAATCTCAGTGTTGTTTTCATCTGCATCTCTCAAATGACCAGTGATGCTGAACATTTTTTCATATATTTACTTGCTGCTTTTACTACTTTGTCTGAGAAGTGTCTGTTCATTTAAGATACTCATTTTTGAATTGGGTCTTTATATTTGGGGGGTTTGAATTTTTTTTAGTTGTTTATATATTCTAGATAGTTGAGCTTTGTCTGAGGAACGACTGGTAAATTTTTTTCCCCACATTGTAGGCTGTCTCTTAGCTCTGTTGGTGGTTTCTCTTGCAGTGCAGAAGCTTTCTGAAAGAATTAAAAGAATCATACCACAGTGATATATGCTCACCCATGTTTATAGAGGCACAGTTTGTAATAGCTAAAACTTGGAAACAGTCCAATTCACCATCAACTGGAGACTGGATAAAGAAGAAATGGTTTTCTTTTTTATAAAATGGAGTACTGCTCAGCCATTAAGAATGAGAAACTAGAGACATTTATAGCTAAGTGGATGCACACTGAGGCCATACTCTTAAGTGAAATAAATAGGACATACATGTAAATACAGAATAGTTTCTCTGGTGTGGAAAACTAAAAGTGCAAATAAGGATCAAAATGTATAATTGATATTGTGAAATAGGAAGAAAATATCTAAAGTAATAGGGGAAGTGGGAAGAGTAGGGGAAAGGAAAGAAGGGAAAAGAAAAAATATGAGAAAAGGAAAAAAATGGAAACAAAGTCTTTGTAAATAGGGAAGAAAATGGAAGCAAAGTCTTTGTAAATAGGGAGGGGGTGAAGGGAGTTCAGGGGAATGGGGAAAAAATAAGAACCAAGATATGTCATGTAAAGGTACAAGATCCCAGTGATGAATGTAACTGTATTGCATACCTGAAATGTACCAATAAACTTAATGGAAAAAATAATGATATTTTCCCAAAAACTTTCAAAAAGAGCAGTGAATCAAGAAACAAAAAAAGTTTTTGAGATTGAAAAACATAAGGTAAAACTATCTTTTTTTACACACTATAATGAGAAGAAAGTGTTTGTATACCATGTACCTGACATGGAACAATTTTTAAACACAATAATATAGATTCAAAAGAGATAAAATACTTGAAGAGATACTTGACAAAGATAGTACACTGAGATCAGTGAAGCAAATAAACAGAAAAAAAATGACTACCATCAATAGTCTTAGGGAAATCCAAATTAAACCACAGTGACATACAATCACACACCAATCAGAATTACTAATAACAAAAATATCAGCATATATAATATTAGGATGATCAGGTACCTCAAGCCTCATACACTACTGATAGGAGTATGAAACTGAACAATCACTTTGGACAAGTATATTTCCTCAAGAGAGGAAATGTAAGGAAATTGAGGTATAAACCAATGTGTCTTGTTCACCTTGTTCTCCTTGAAGCAGAATGATAAAGGTGAGAAAGGTAGATAAAATTAGAAACTAAAAGAAGGTCAACTCCTGTAATGTCTTCTAATCCCATATTGTTAGAATGATGACATTTATTTTGAGATGAGAAGCATTAGAGAAGCATTGTGCAAAAGAAGAGCATGGTTAGAGTTTATAACCAGACTACTATGTTTTTCACATTAAGTGTTGACCTTGTTTATAATAGAATGTAGCAATCACCAGTTTTAAACACAGAGACCATTGGAAGACTTTTGCACTGGTCCATACAAACATTAACGGTAGGCTATCATGAATGGTATAGGTAGACACATTTTTATACTTGATATTTTGAAGTTAAGATCCACAGGTGTCTTGAAGTATAAATGAAGGATATCTGTGAGGATATCAGCTTGCATATCTGATAGGATATAGTTTCCACTCTGAGATGGAAAAGATTGAATGGATGACTTCAGGACAAAATAAAATTATTTCTTTTTAACAATAAAACAATAATAAATTATATGTAAATTTCACAATAATCATAGCAAAGTATTTATGTATTTACAAAAATACAATGAGAAAAAAATTATCCATATCAGATACTGAGAATAGAAAGCAGGAAAAGAAAATACTGAGAAAGGCAAAAAAGATTTATTGGTAGAAATAATATGGTAACTGTATATTAAATGTGATTCTTACAAATTTTTTAGATGTCAGAGTGAAGAAAGAACCAGGAATTATTTGACAAACACTAAATTTCAATTCATTAGAAAAGGAAAATCACTTCCATTTTTAAATATTAGAGAATCTTTTAAATTCCTTTTCTGGATAGTTTTTTGTTAGTGCATAGAAACACAGCAGACTTTTGTTTTTTTTGGTAAGGTGGATTGAACTCGGGACCTTGCACTTGCGAGGCAGGCAAGTGAGCTAAATCCCCGGCCCTAGAGATGATTTTTAATGTGAGAATTTATTGAAAATTGAATATCAAAATGTACATTATATTTAACACAATTTTCAGCAATTCAAGTCAGATTCTAAAGTTATATTTAGCTAATTTTTATAAAACAGGAGAAAACATAAAGAAATACTGTGATTAATTTGCAGCATGAATAAAATTAGGTTTCATGGAAACCATAAATTTCTATTCATGGCATATTTCAAATCTCTCACCAGGAAATAATAATGTGTTTCCTTGTTAACTCTTGTTATGTTTTCTTGTTAACTCTGTTTCTCTTTTGTCTTCTAAATTTTGGGTCACCATCTTCTGCTGTCCACATTTCCCTAGCTCACTCATATTGGTTATTTTTCCACATCAAGACTAGTACAGTCACCATAATCATCAAAACTCGTATCTGCAGTTGTTCAAACGTTACACTTTGCTTTTGTGTATATTGCTCTAACTACCTTATTCAAGGATTTTACTTTGAAAATGTTTGCAACAAAGGCTTATTGTAGGTATAAATTTTACAAATTAGATTGCACTCTTCAGAAACCTTTTGAAAATACTTGGTCAGCGCCCTTTATTCCCTTTTGGAAGGGTTCTATAGGGTTTTTATGCTGTGAAAGAACAATATATTTTCTTCTATACTTGGGATACTCAGAAATGTTTCTTTTTAAAATTGTTATTATAGTTGTTTCTTATTTCTCACTTTCAAATATCAACCACTTTGTAGCAAGCTAAATTAAAGCACCTACTTTCAAGGGATTATATATTTGAGGCATTTATGTTTCCCATAGGAAAAATCTCATAAAATAATGCATGATTTGATAATTTTTCTAAATTCTGTATTCATTTTAGATTGTAATTTAGAATTATAAGCAGTAAGCCATGAGCATCTAAACAGCACCCCACTATCCACATATGGCCCTGGATAGCTAGTATTGTGGTCTGAAAAGATCATAAACTTTTAACATTAGTCTTATTTTACTGATTTTTTTTCATGATTGGCCATGTGGTGCTCCAATGTGGACTAAGTAGGCAATACAGATGCAGGAGAGAGATCACTCTGCCACCTGTGCACACCACCCAGAGTCAGCAGGCTAAAACTCCACATTTGTTTATCACTGTTCACATGCATTGATGCTATTTAATGAGTACAACCCAGTGATTGCCGATAATAGTATATCAACCCACCTATATGTGTGTGCTTGTAAAGACAGCTTATTGTTATTAAGCAGACATATTTGACTGAGTCATTTCATCCAATAATTTAATAAATTAAAATATTAACAAAGAAAGTTTTGTTATTATATACATTAAATATATTACATATTTCATATGTTGCCCAGGAACATATTTTATATGTTCCTTTTCACTCAATGCAGACTAGGTAAGCCAACAGGTTGGGCATCAATGTTCTAAAGA